GAGCTGTAGCTCGCGGTATACTGAGACGCGGGTAACGGGAGGACGCTAGTTTGTGTCCTCCCGTTACCCTAAGGAGAACTATAGGGAAAAACACTGACCCCATAGTTCTCCTTTAAGCTATGCTCGCCTCAATTATCAAGGCTTGTGTGAATCAAATTCCTTTTTATCTTTTACATCTGCACATGATTAGGCATTCAAAGCGAACACAGCTACTATTTATTGAGTGAAGATTCTCAACTCCTTTATTTTATTTTATCTGCACATGATTAGGTATTCAAAGTGAACATCGCAACAATTTATTAAGTGAACATTCTTAATTCCTGTAGTAAATCAACTCCAGAATGTTGGGTGGCCCGTTAAGCAAGTACAACTGCATGTACATGACGCATGCAACTTGCTAGACATTTGTTCTGAATTGTTTTTAGGAGGTACAGATTACTTGCTAGTTATTTGTGCTGTCCTATTTTTAGGTAGTACACATTACTTAAAGTGATATTAAAGTCAAAAGGTTTTTAAGCTATTTTGGATGCTGATGAAATCACTTTCAGTGAGTGCTGCTTCTTGATGTTTAAAAGTTTCAGCTTCCTGCAGAATGAGTTGGTTCCCTGAGCACCTGCCCTGATATCCTGTTTTAGCGTGGCTCCTTTCCCTTGCAGGGTCCTATGGAGCCACCCTTCTGTGTGCTAGTAAGCGGTGTGTGTCGCCACAAACACGCAGATGCAGAAGGGCAAGATACTCTCCTCCTCCATGCTCCCAATTTTTTCCTCCTCCCTTCTCCAAGCTAGTAGATACACTGCAATGTCACATGTGATCTTGTACTGGACAGGAAGTTCAGGGAATCTAAGCTGAGAGAGATGGAGCTGTTTGGAAACATAATGACTGTAAGTAGTTTGAAAATAGAAATACTTTGGAGGGCAATGTACAGTACTGCGAAAAAGTTTTGGGCAGGTGTGAAAAAATGCTGTAAAGTAAGAATGCTTTCAAAAATAAAAGTGTCAGGGCTCAAAATGTCAAGTCTTGAGCTACTAGCTAGGCTATAAGAGTTGCTTGCCACCAGTTGCCCCACCTATCCCCTACCTTGCCCCAGCCTTAACTCCGCCAGGCCAGCGGTGTGGCGCATAGTACAGTGATCAGTAGCAACACAGAGTGCGGAAGTCAGTGGTGTGACGCACAGTACATAGGCAAGTAACAACACAAAGTGCAGGGGTCCGAGGTGTGACGCTGAGTGCAGGGGTCAGCAGTGCAGAGGTCAGTAATGTAACGCACAGTACAGAGGTCAGCGGTGTAAGGGTGAAAGAACAAGAACTTACAGTGCACATAGATGAACTGATTCAGGTGCCCTGAAATTGTTAATAGTTTATCTTTATCAATTAACAAAATGTAAAGTAAATTAACAGAAGAGAAATCCAAATCAAATCAATATTTGGTGTGACCACCTTTTGCCTTTATAACAGCATCAATTCTTCTAGGTGCACTTGCACCTGATACATGGTACAGATATAATGATAATTCTAAGACGCTAGTAACAGTCACCTTCTTGAGTACATTCGCAGTTCTGTTGTTATGTTTCAACTGTTAACATAGAGATCGAGCCGTATAAACTTTAGCGTCTTGAGATGCTTGTTGAAAGGGCCAGAGTACCCTATCTTAGAAATAGAGATAAAAGGAAAGAAGGAAGACCAAAAGAAGTAGAAGGACTGGGTGGGAAGGGGGAAAGGGATCTGTGGCAGCGGAGCAGAGCCTCCAGGTCAGGGTGTCCGTTTTAGAGTGACGTAAGACTCGTGAGGGGAATGGTTGGGTGCGCATGTGCCCACCAGGGGTCCCAGACCTTCCGGAATTTCTTTTGAGTGTCCATCAGGATACTGGACAGTTTTTCGTTAATGAAGAATGAGTCAAGCCGTCTGCTGACCCCATCAAAGGGGATCTGCTGCTTCCTCCACGCCTGTGCTATTGTTTGTTTTGCAGCTAGGAACATAAAGACTGCTAATTTATATTGAGAGTTCGTGAGGTTTGGAGGTTTAAGGTGTAACAGGGCATACCTCGGGTCTCTTTTTATGTTTGTTTGAAGAATTGAGTTCAGTAGCCGGAAAGATTTGATCCAGAAACGGTGAACCAATGGACACGTCCACCAGATGTGCATTACATCACCCTTCGCATCGCAACCTCTAAAACATTTGGCTGATTGTTGAGGGTGAGAATGTGCTAGTCGGGCTGGCACCATGTACCATCGCATCATAGACTTATATACAGTCTCTAGTGAGGTGATGTTGATGGTGCATGACGCCGCCGAGGCCCAAACCTGCTTCCACTCTGCCTCAGTAACTGCCCCGTGAAGATCCTTATCCCAAGCACTGACATAGTTATGCACTGAGTTGCTCTGGGCTAAGTTCAGTTGGGAGTATAAGATGGATATCAACTTGGGTTGCAAAGGTGTATGGTAGCATATATGTTCCATTAAGGAGAGGCGAGTGGTGGGCACCCCGCTAGCGAGAACAGACCCCGCCCAATGTCTGATTTGCAGGTATCGGAAGAATTCTGAGGGGGGAGCATGTGAGTCTGCCCTTATCGAATCCCAGGTACGCACTCGCCCATCTTGCAATAGGTTGTGCAGGTATATTATGTTTTGGGACTTCCACCAAGCAAAAGCCCCCGGCGACTGCATTCCTGGGAGTGGGTTGCCTATTATGGGCTTTAATGGGAGATGGGGGGAGATTAGCTTTCCCTGATGTTTGATGTGATCCCATACTCGGAGAGTATGGTTCATTACGGGGGTGAGAGATTTTGGCCTTGCGTGTGGGGGGAGCCATGGGAGAGCTCTGACCGATGTTGGGGCGCTATATACACTTTCCAGGTCTACCCATAATGGTCCTAGTGAATCAGAATATAAGTTAGTTATAGGTGCTATCTGGGCCGCCTGGAAATATTTGCGGAAGTTCGGAATACCCAAACCCCCTTGTTTTTTGTGTGTACACATGGTGTGCTTCGAGACCCTGGGTCTGGTGGCTCCCCAGGTAAATGAGAGCACTTTCTTCTGAAAGGAGTTGCACACAGTTTTTGAAGGAACTCGGCAGGTAGGTTGTTCCAAACATCTTGGGGAACTAACCACACATGCTGACTGTCTTCCAATCTATCCCTGCCCCAACTCTCTGATTTCCTTTGTGTTGTGCTAGAAGCCCCTATTGTTGAAACAGAAATTCTTACCACTATTAAGGGCCTAAAACCCCATAAAAAAACCAGGTCTGGACGGTTTCGTGGCTACCTATTATAGTAATTACTCTGACCTTCTGGCCCTTTTACTGCAAGACGCCTTTAATCTAATTCTTGTGGGACATACTTTATGGACAGAATTATTATTATTATACAGGATTTATGTAGCGCCAATGTTTTTCGCAGCGCTTCACAATATAAGGAAGACATTACAATACAATTCAAGACAAGATTTACTGTGAGGGCTTACAGTCTAAAAGGGAGCGACAAGTGGTACATGAGGAGTTAGTTGTGTGTGGATGGACTTTTTGAGAACATGATGGTTCAGTAGTTAGTTAGAGGTGGGATAGGCTTCCCTGAAGAGATGAGTCTTTAGGGATCACCTAAATGCAATCAGAGTAGAAGAAAGACAGACAGGTTAGGGTAAAGAGTTCCAGAGGATGGGAGAGACTCTAGAGCGAGCGATGCAGGGAGGAGAGCTCAGCCTCCAGTGGCAGCGTGGGCTGTCTCCGCCCACACACCGCTCTGCTAGACTGTGATAGGAGGCTGAGTGGTGTGGGAGGAGACGCCGGCCGATCACATCGCTCTTCTCCCACAGCGCACGGCCGGCTCTCACAGTTTCTCTCCTCCCCGCTGGGACACAGAGCAACGCCCAGCGAGGAAGAAAGAAAGCAGGGATGCGCCGCTGTATCGGCAGGAAAATGGCACTTTCGGCATTATGACAAAAGTACAATTTTCGGCCGATATGTTTAGGCGGCCGATATATCGGTGCATCCCTAGTTAATATTTTTAATTTGATCATTTGGGCAAGTGAAAGCCAGTGCAGGGATTGACAGAGGGGGGTTGCAGACACTGAGTGGTTGGTTTGGTGGATGAGTCTAACAGCTGCATTCATGATAGACTGAAGTGGGGGTAGCCTTTGTAGAGGTAGGCCAATGAGGAGGGAGTTGCAATAGTCAAGACGAGAGATAACAAGTGAGTGGATGAGTAGCCTAGTGGTTTCATCAGTGAGGTAGGGATTGGATGTGGGTCAGAAAGGTGAGGTCTGAGTACAGGATGATACCTAGCACCTTGGCATGGTGGAGGGATGGATAGTTGTGTTATCAATCTCAAGGGAAAAATCGGGGAAAGGTGTACGGGCAGGAGGAAATATCATGAGCTTAGTTTTTGAAAGGTTGAGTTTTAAGAAGTGTTGTGACATCCAGACTGATATGTCAGTAGCTTAGTGACACGGAAGGACACTGAGGGTGAGTTGTGGAGTAGAAAAATACATTTGAGTTTCATCGTTATAGAGATGGTATTGGAAGCCAGGTGAGGTTATTAACTGACCAAGAAAGAGGAAGAAGAGGGGAGGAGATAGATTTGTAGATGACACTAACTAGGAGAAGAACCATGAGAGAGCAGAGTCTTGTAGGCCAAGCGAGTGGAGTATTTTGAAGAGGAGCGGGTGGTCAACAATGTCAAAAGCAGCAGAAAGGTCTAATAATAAGAGTAAGGAGTAGTGGCCGATGTTTTTAGCAGTTAGTAAGTCATTAGTACGTTTTAGAAGGGCGGTTTAAGTGGAGTGTACAGGGACTGTGCCAGACTGTAAGGGGTCCAGAAGGTTGTTATTAGCGAGGTGGCGGCTCAGACGGTTGTAGACGGTCCAGGGAGGTCCATGTTTTTTGGATATTGGGGTGACCAACACATGCTTTAGAGGGGAAGGAAAGATGCCAGAAGAGAGGGGAAGATTGAAAATGTGAGTTATATAGTGTAGGATAGAGCAAGAGTGCGAACGAAGTAGTGGTGAGGGGACAGGGTCCTGGGGGCAAGTGGTGAGGTGGGTGTCGGAGAGAAGCTTTGTATCTTCCTCTGTGGTGACAGAGTCAAAAGAGGAAAGTAACAAATGTGATAGTGGATTTGGTACATTAATAGGGGAAGAATCCTGCGGTCATCATCATACCAAACCCTATTACTGACATTCTTCTATTCCCTCTACTTTTTGTCCCATTTCCTTACTAAACATCGGCATCAAACTTTTTTGGCCAACATCCTATTTCTTAGATTAAACCAAGAGATAGGGATTACTTTATTCATAAATGCCAGATGGGCTTTATGCCAACCAGACAAGCGAGCGATAACGTCCGCAAGCTTCTCTTACTTGTCGATGGGGCATTGTTATACCGTTCTCCCCGTGCTTCAGTTTGTTACGCAGTATTCTACTCTCACCCCTGTTTTCTATCCCTGGCAGGGTTGTCTACTTTCTTATGTTATTTGTAGAGGTGAACCGAAATGAAAATGTTTAAACCGAAATAAATAAATAAAAATTCAGACTGAAACCTAAAATGTTTATTTTAAATTTTTTTAAAAATATTTTTTTATTTTTATTTTTTAGAAACTTTTTAATTTTTTTATATTTTTATTAATTTTTTATTAATTATTTTTATTTTTTACATTACTTTTAGGGGCTTTGGGGAAATATTGGGGGTCTAAACAGACCCCTGATATTTCCCTTTTAAAATAGAAAAAGAGATTTAGGACGCAAATTCCTTTCCTTTTGTCTCTTTTTCTGTGTCCCCTGTTATCAATGGACAAGAATCCTCTATGATTGTTCCTGTTCATTCATAACATGAGGACATGGCATGTTCACTATAACTACAACTATGAATGAACAGGAGGCTAATCCAGCGGTGTAGAGAGGAGAGCCCAGACTCCTGTGACAGCGCGGCCTGTCTCCGCCCACACACCGCTCTGCCGGACTGTGATAGAAGGCTGAGCGGTGTGCGAGGAGACCCCGGCCGCTCACAGCGCTCTCCTCCTGCAGCGCTCGGCAGCCTGTCACTTTCTCTCCTTCCCGCTGGGACACAGAGCAGCGCTCATCGGGGGAGGAAAGAAAGCAGGGAAAGCAGGGATGCACTGATGTAACGGCAGGAAAATGGCACTTTCTGCATTATGCCAAAAGTGCCATTTTCGGCCGATATATCGGTGCATCCCTAGTTATTTGCCCTCACAATAGAACCCTTTGCCCACCTTTTTATAAGGGCCTCCTCTAACATATTTTGCTTAACCATTGCTGGTCATCAATGTAATTATGTCAAAACAAAAGATCGAGACCTTGTGATAGCATTGACAGGGCTAAAAGCACTATTGTAGAGGTGTGTCTGTCGTTATTTTTCTCTATAACTATATTTGCAACTGTTTATTAATAGTAATTGTTTATTTCTAATATAGACAGTTCCTTATGTTGGTACAATCTTGGGAGGCCTAAAACCTGGAGCAATGGTAGTAATCCATGGAACTGTCTCTGATGATGCAGACAGGTAATTGCAGGATATATTTTCTAATTTAATGTTTTTAAAAAATGGCTAATCCCATATCCTAAATAGTAGTGGTTTCCTACAGTCAAAGGCCATGCACTCACTGACCTATCAGTAATATAAGACTTAACAGATATTGGAGATCAATGGTTACAAAATACAATTTCACTGATAAAAATGCTTCTGTATGTTGTGCAGTGTGGAGATCATTTATTTCTTAGGCTGGGTTCACACCTGGGCATACGGAATATGCGAGTTTCGTGCCTCGCGTTTTTACCGCGATTTGCGCGTGCGTTTCCCAGGTCTATCCGGCTGTATCCTTATGGATACGCGCAGCAAATACGCCCCAAAGAAGCTCCTGTACATCTTTGGGCGTAGGGCGTTTTTCAGCGCGTTCCTACGCGCTGTAAAATGCCCAGGTGGGAACCATGCCCATAGGCAATTATTGATTTTCACATGTTGAGCGTTTTACAGCGCGTAGGAACGCGCTGTAAATCGCCCAGGTCTGAACCAGGCCTTAGGTTACAAATGATTGTGGGACCTCACATACAGCCACAGCACAACGCACAGAGCATTACACATACACATTTCATCTGAAATACATTTTTAGTATTCGCACATGTCTAATAATATGTGTGTGAGGGGGGCGGGGGGCAGTTTTTACTTTTTTTTTAAATCATTTTTTTAAAAATTGTATTTATTTACAGTTGGGGGGGGGCTCCGGGTTGAACAGGCTGTAATGTAAATCACCGCCTGTTCATTCATAACTGGGGACACATAGCACTATGTGTCCCCAGTTATTTACAAACACTGGAGTGATCAGACGATCGCTCCAGTGTTTTTATCCTTCTCACACGGAGGATCGGTAAATATCAATGATATTTACCCATCCCCCGCTCTGCCTCGCACAGAGCCGCTGTCATCCTGAAACTGACAGGATGACAGCGGCTCCGATCTCCTCGTCGCTCGGCCATCCTGACAGCTGCGAGCGCGGCTTCTCTCACCCTCGGGGCAGCTTCTCTCCTCGCGGCTTCTCTCCCGCTCAGCCATCCTGACAGGCAGCGCTCCCTCCTGCGACCCCGGACGGACGGACGAGGGAGCGCTGTCATCATGTCGGTGAGGAGGAGAGAAGCCGCCCCGAGGAGTGCCTGACTCAATGGCTTCATTTCCACTCGCCCCCACGCAATTTTCACTCGCAATTTGCGAGGGGGCGAGTGGAAATTTTGAGCCCTGCTGTATGTTATATACTTCACACCACTCCACTTTGTATGTTATGCACCATACCATTGCATATCACTGCCATTCTATAGATGCTATATAAATACCACTAGCAATTTTCTTGACCGTACAGTACGGGACACCGGCAGATACAGAAATGAAGTAGTATGCAGATATCATGAGGTGAGTGGACACTGGCCAAAGCTATGAGAACCTTCATATAAGACCTTTCTCTAAATAATCCTCTGTTTTTTGCTAGTTTCCTTAGGTTAAGGAGGTCTCCTCTCTACTTATTGGAGAAGCATTCAGATTTGCTTACCTTTTTTTCCTGCAATTCATCAATCAAGTTTCTCTGCTGCATTGGCCACAGCAGCAACTTCCCAGCTTCTGAATCAGTGCAATAGCACTGCTTCAACAGCTTCAGGGACCCCGCTGGATGGAAGATGCAGCGCCTGCCTGTAATGTCGCTTTGGGCACTGGATGCTGCAATGGACACCTATCTTGGCACATGGTGCATTGCATTGGCTTAGCCACAGGGTGCTATACAGGTCCAGGGCAGTGGCATTTGCTCCGGGTGAGTCTATGCCCCTATTTTCTCCTGGATATCCCTTTGTCCCTCAGTGCTGCTATGTCTCTCCTACACAGTCACCAGCAAGGTGCCCCTGCAGTATGGGAATACACCTCTGCTACCCAGACCTCCTTCTGCCCAGTTTGGATCCCCCTCTCCCCTCTATGGCAAATAGTGGTTAAATTTAGAGGTAACTTGAGTTGGTCACTGCAGTTATGCAGACTGCCTTCTTGGTATACCTGGCCGGCTGTGCCAGGGGGAAAAGGGGTAGCAAGCTCCACAGCTAATAATGGGTATAGGGGGTTACCCAAGTGCAAACAAATGTAGCCCCCTTTTTCCTTCCCCTTCTCAACTGCTGTTGGATGCAGCCATGGCTACAGCCCTTATCCTAGATAAAGAGAAGGAGGAGGGTGTGGAGTGGAAGTGTGTACATGCTCAGACTCTGACATTTCCTCACATTTCCCCACCTTCAGTGATCCTGTCCTCAAAGATGTGTAATACCATTTCAGTGTTCATTGACGAGGTGTGAGAGTGTCTAGCCATTGAACCACCTGTACAGGATCGTTCACCCATATGGGTTTCCTTAAGAAGAAGCCCACTAGGACCTTCCCGCCATACTTCCTGGTAGAGGAGGTGCTCTATGCATCATCCTATCCTATGCTATCTATGCAGCATCCTGAGAAAGTATACTGTATGCTCCTCCGAAGTGATTTGCACTGCAGTATCCCTTAGAGAAAACTGTCCCTGACTCTACTGGTGCAGAAAATCCTGGCCCATAGAGACATGGTGGATAAGTGCCTGTCAGGGTTCCACCCTGACTTAACTGGTTTGCAACATTCTGGCTTGGCTGCCATTTTACCCCCCTGTGATCCCTCCTTTGCCTGAGCAGACTCTGTAACGTTGCACACTACTCCCAGGCTCCCTCTTATGGCCAAACAGGAGAGCATCATCTGAGAGAGCCAGATGGGAGTTTCCTGTCTCTAAATGATGATGTCACTATATAAACCACTCAGTCCAGTCTGACCTTGCATGGTCTTACCTGCTAGTGCATTCCTGCTGCTCTGAGTATTCTGATTCTGTGTATGACCCAAACCTGGCTGACACTCTCCTCTGGTTCCTGCTCCTGGCTTGTTCCTGACAATGCTGATTTACTGGTCCCTGCTCCTGGCATGATTTTTGCTTGCTCCTTTTGGACACTGTTCTTAATAAGTATTTTAACTAGCACCTTATGCTTGTCAGATTTTCAATGTGCTCTGACAGTGCCTTGAAGGATTGTTTAAGGTTTCCTTCGCCGTTATTGGTCCTACCCTTCAGCGACTTCTTTGGAGGCATGTCAGTCCTTGGCGTTCTGGACCAAGAATAGGGCCTGTAATCCCTGTTCCATCACAACAGACCCTGATGTCTTGGGGCATTTGGAATTTTGCTGGTCTATTCGAGGAGCTGCCATTAGCTCAGTTTCACTCCAGACCACTTCATCTAAGCATTCTTTGCTGCGTGAGACAAACAGACTCACTCTCTGGTTCGACCTATGTGCCTGTCGGCCAAGGTAATGCTCTCGCTGGCCTGTTGGATCTCCAGTCCAACGTTGGAGACAGGGACTTACTTTCACTGCAGTGGACAGTACTGATGACGGACCCCAGCCTATTGGGCTGGGGAGTTGTCCTCAGGACCTCGAACATACATGAAATGTGGTCGACAAGGAAATCCAGACACGCCATCAATGTACTGATGCTAAGAACAGTCCAACTCTACCTGCAGCACTGGATGTGATGTCTTCAGATGCAACTGAAAATGGTCCAGTTTGACAACCTCGCACCCATGGTTTACATCAACCATAAGGAGGAACCAGAAAACGTGCAAATCAAAGAGAAGACTTTATCATGGCCTGAGTAGAACTTCATATCCTGACCCCGACTGCCGCGCACATTCCAGGAGTGGACAGTAGGCTGGCGGACATTCTCAGTGAACAGTGTTTGGATTCAGGGGAAGGGTCTCTACACCACAAAGTTTCAGATGTGCGGCTGCTGGGGTATGCCAGATGTGGATCTCCTGGTGCCCAGATTCCACAACAAACTGGACAGGTTTTCACAAGCATTCGCAGCTGTTTCTTGGTAAAGCCCTTTGTGCTGGGGGTCACTCATGTGACTCCCCCTAGACAGCCTCTGCTGACAATGGGTTATCTCAATCTGGTGCTTTCATCCCTCTAGCAAGCTCCTTTTGAAGCAAGATATATCCCTGGCAGATCTCACACTCAAAGTGGTTTACTTTGTCACCATCACCTCTGCTGGTTTTAGACTATTGTGAAAAGAACCATTCCTTCACTAGCTTCACAAGGATAAGGTTGTTCTCAGGCCTAGGGATACCTTCTTGGCTAAGGTGATGCCCTTGTTTCACTTTATTTAGGACATTGTTCTTCCTTTTTGTCCTGCTCTGAATCAAGGTAAAGAGGTTGCCTGGACTGCCTATCGGATAGTTTCTCCATATTCAAATGGAGCCCGCCAAGGGTGTCCACTGTCCCCTACACTTTTTGTCCTGACTCTTAAGCCCTTCATTAGAATGGTTCAGGCTGATCCTCATATCTGTGGAATTACGATGGGCAATACAGAACATAAGATGCGTTTGTGTGCTTCCAACTTCGCAGTACTACACGATTACAATACGGAAAGATTTAACTAGATAGTGAATAATCACCTTCTCATGGTTTGGAAGAGTGGCAGTCTTGAAGATGAATGTCCTTCCCAGACTGTTATACTATACCTATTTGATTGCCATGATCTTTCTTTCACACGTTAGACACTACTCTTTCCATTTTTGTTTGGAGTGCCTTTTTTGGTCCCTCCTTTAAAGCGCCTAAATGTTGTGGTTGCTTGGATGTTCCTAACATGTACACATACTTCAAAGCCTCACAGCTTACTAGAATAGTGTATTGGCATATCCACGCTGACACCAAACTGTGGGTGTCCATAGGGCAGGAATGGTCGGAAATCCCCATGACATCTTTTGCTTTACATTTGTGACGTTGCAATGCTCTCTTACCTCATTGCAGAGCCCTATGACGCCTTTGAAATACAACCTTGATTTTTCCTCCAGGTGCCAAAAAGGGATTTCCATCTTGTTGGACCTTACGGCGAAACTCTTCTTTAGATCACAGAACTTCTCTAGAGCCCTTACACCTTTGGAAAAGATTTGCTCAGGAGATGGTCACTCCCGCCACTTGCTGTCTTGGATGTGCGCTTTGACTCGTGATGTCAACACAACGCCTTTACATAACTTACATTGCAAATGGGAACGAGCACTTGATGTTACCATATCTGAACATTCTTGGTCAGATATCTGTATAGCTGTTCACAAATGTACCATCAACAGACGGATGCAGGAGACTAATTATAAACTTTAGATTTTTTGGGGATAGGGCTCCCCACTTATTACACCACACAATACCCTGCTTTACCATCATCCTGCTAGAGATGTCATGACAACATTGGCACACTTTCCCACATTTTCTGATCGTGTCCACGTATCGCTCCAGGTGCACGATATTATAGAACCCAACATGGGCTCCGTACTGCAATTTTTACCTGAGATCTTTCTTTTGCATTGAAGGATGGATTCTTCCTCAGGCTCCTATAAATCGTTGCACAGACATCTCATTAATGCTGCACATATAATCATTTCTCATTACTGGAGACGGGAGCATGCGCCCTCTGTAAAAGAATGGCTTGCTCAAGTTGAGCATGTTTATGTAATGGAAGAGTAACATGCAAATAAACAGGATGCTCTGGACAGGTTCAGATCACGGTGGGCTTGCGGGTCCTATTTAACCTGTAATGATGACTTTGACAACTTAAAACATTGATTATGACCATTTTATAGTTTTGTGCTATTATGAACCCATTTACTCCCACTTTATCACTCCCTACACCCTATATTTTTGTTCCTATACTTTCAATTCTCAAGCCTACCTTTTTATCCACCCCTGTTTGTTGTTTTTTTTTTTTTGCTTTTCTCTCTCCCCTAACTTTTTCCTACCTCCTATTTTACTCAAGTAAAATTTTACTTAAGAAAAAAAATGCATCAATCGCAGTAAAATCGTGCTACATCGTGGCAAAACGCATCACATTGCAACTGCGCAGACCCAAGCAGTTCTGGTGTTAACTAGTCCTTACTGGTTTTTTTTGTTGATATTCTGATTTGCTACTTTTCTTGGATTTTATACTGTTCATATTGAGCTGATGGCTATTTCCTTGGATTGTTTGTATTATAAAATAAATAAAACTTGTTTAAAAAAAGAGAAGAGGTTGCCCTCCATTATTTGGATTTGGTTCAGAACATACAAGTTTATTTCTCAGCAATGGTTTAGTTCAGACAATCCGATTTTGTCTTTCTCTTTTTCCTTTGTCTGAAGGACCTTGCAGGGGGCTCCTTGCATTTTGTTCCATCTTTTCTCAGTGGATTAGACAGGTAATTGTGCATGCTTATGCTTCTAAGGGTAAGGTACCGCCTTTTTTTGTGAAAGCAGGCTCTACTAGATCTGTCAGTGGCTCTTGGACTTTGCAGCATCAAGTATGTGCTTTGCTGATTTGTAAGGCTACCACCTGGTCCTCTGCTTACATGTTTGCTAAATTCTACCAGGTGGACATTTGGACCCCTGCTGATGCTAGTTTCGGCTGTAAGGTGTCACAGGCTGCTGTGTACGTCATAGTTTCCCTCTTTTGTTCTGTTTTGTGTGCCTGTTGGTGGCTGTTTTGCTGTGTTGTCCACCCCCGTTGTATTAGTTGTGGACGTCCCAGTCATCTCTGAATCTGCCTGTGTTCTATACTGTACTATCAAGAAAATCGAATTTTTGATTTGCCAGTAAAATTCATTTCTTGGAGTACAGTACAGGCACAGGACCTTACCCTCTATTGCTTGCTAAAATATTTGAAGATTCTTGGCAGTGGGAGGAGTTATTTGAGGGTCTTCACAGCTCTGACCAGTGTCCAATCACTTGATGATACCTACATATTATACCTATCTTCTTTGAATCTGCTTGTGTCCTGTACTCCAGGAAACGGATTTTACTGTTAAGTAAAAAATCCTATGTTTTGGACTTTGACAATCCCACCCCATTTAAGCAACAGACACTTTTGTTAGTATTATTCAAGGCACAATACTTGAACTTACCTCCATGTGTCTTATAAAGCCAGACCATACTGTAGCTTAGGCTGTTGGTTGTTCTATGTTAAAGATGGTACAGAATAAAAATTTATAAATATATTCAGTTTTTTCATGTTCAATAATACAGTTGACAGTGTTATATAGATTCTTTCATGACTGCATATATAGTCAATAAGCACAACATTCACCGATCAGCCATAACATTATGACCACCTCCTTAATATTGAGTAGGTGCCCCTTTTGTCACCAAAACGGCCCTAACCAGTGAAGACATTGACTCCACTAGACCTCTGAAGGTGTACTGTGGTATCTGACACCAAGCCGTCAAAGAACATTTTGCAACTAATTAGGTTAATTGGCAACAGGTCAGTAACATGATTGAGTATAAAAAGAGCATCTTAGTGAGTCAGAGTGTCTGTCTGAGAAGTAAAATGGGCAGAGGTTCACCAGTCTATGAAAAGCTGCATCTAAAAATTGTTAAACAATTTCAGAATAATGTTCATCAACATAAAATTGGAAAGACTTTAAATATATCACTATCCACAATACATAATATCAAAAGATTCCAAGAATCTGGAGGAATGCCGAAATGCAACATTGGATGCCCGTGATCTTCGGGTTCCCAGACGGCACTGCATTAAAACTGCGTATCGATCAGAATGCTGAAAATAAATCCAGGGTCCCCAGGTGGACAAGAACTGCCCTTCCGTGTTTCTGAGGGTTGCCAAGTCCTCCAGCACATACTTCACGTACCTTGGAAAGCCAAAACGAAATGGTAGGGGGACATGTTTGTTTCCATAACAAGGGAATAGAAGCTCTGGCCGCATCCAACAGGTGGCGTGGGAGTAAGTGCCGGTAAGTTGAGTGCGGAGCCGCGGACATGCATAAGAGACATGCCGCTGGATTATTTCTGAGATCTGTCTTGATCAGGTCCTGAATGACAGTCAGCACCTGGTCCATGAAGGGTCTCGACCTCAGGCAGGACCAGAAAGTATGTAACATTGTACCTGAGTCTGAGCCACACCTCCAACACTGGTCAGGAATGGCAGATCTCATTTTATGCAGGAGCCATGGGACTCTATACCACCGAGATAATATCTTATATTCCATCTCCTGAACTTTACTAGCAATAGATGACTTAAAGGATGTGGTGATGATGGTACGAACCTGTTCCGTAAAGACGAGTCCCAGTTCTTGTTCCCAGTTCTGCAAAAATGATTGGTAGGGGTCTGTGGAGGGTGTAATTAGCCATTTGTAGATGGTGGAGATGGCGTGTTGTGAGGGAGGAGTACCCTTACACATTCCTTTTATAGACCGTGAGGGGCCTGTCTAGAGCCCTGGGGTTCGGGATGGCCCTAAGAAAGTGTCTGAGTTGCATGGGCACTCCAAGGGTCAAGAGGGAGATCAGCAAGAGATTGCAAAGCCCGGCCCGTTAACCATTTGGAGTCTGCTTGGAAATCAAGTAATCTGTACTTGTCAACCGTCACAAGTCTAGAGAGCCGCACGTTTTCCACACCCGGGCGAAGTCGGATCACCCATAACCGGGATCAATTGAGAAGGGGCAGGTGCTAATGCAGAGCCATGGAACACTATACAGGCTATTCGGATGGTGGAGGAGATCAAGGGATGTTCCCGTACTGTAGGCGGTAGGGGAGAAGAAAGCCGGGAGAGCCCTTCCAGAGGAAACCGGCAGGTAGCCCTGTCAAGGGATACCCAGATCTTGCTGTCACATTGAATGTGCCAGTCTAAGATCCTATTTTAGATGAACCGCCTATAGTACAAGTTAAAAATCCGGTAGGCCCACCCCGCCTCTGTCCCAGGTCTTCCTGCTGATCCTCGGGTGCTTCCCTGTCCAAACGAAGCACACTACCGTGAAGACGGTGGAAAAAGCTAGGAGGGATAAGCTAAGAATAATAGAAATTTGACATTTTTGGCAACCATGAGCGCCTCATTCTCTGGACTAAACAGGAGGGGGACCTTCCGGCTTGTTATCAGCATTCACTTTAAAAGCCTTCATCTCCTGATGGTATGGGGATGTATTGGTGCATATGGAATGGGCAGGTTGCACATCCGGAAAGGTACCATGAATGCTGAAAGATATATTCAGGTTTGAGAGCAGCATATGCTCCCATCCAGACATCTTTTCAGGGAAGGCCTTACATATTTCAGCAGGACAATGCTAAATCACATACTGCATGGCTTCATAGTAGAGAGTGCTTAACTGGCCTGTCTGCAGTCCAGACCGTTCACCAATGAAAAATATTTGGCACATCTTGAAACAAAATATATGACAGAGAAGACCCAGGACTGTTGAGCAGTTAGAATCCTATATCAGGCAAGAATGGGACAACATTCCTCTTTTAAAATTCCATCAACTGGTCTCCTCAGTTCCCAGACATTTACAGAGTGTTGTTAAAAGAAGCGGGGATGCTACATCATGGTAAACATGGCTCTGTCCCAACTTTTTTGAGAAGTGTTGCTGCCATCAATTTCAAAATTGCCTTATTTTGTTCTTAAAATGGTACATTTTCTCAGTTTAAACATTCGTTTATGAGATTTGCAAATCATTGCATTCTGTTTTATTAAGATTTTACAGTGTCCCAATTTTTTTTAATGGGGGTTGTATATCCCACATACTTCAAGGTGCCAATGTAACAAAATAATCAATTTCAGTTGTCATAATGTTACGGCTGATTGGTGTATATATTATGCTTTAAAACATGTCTGTGCTTTTGTTTTTTTAATTCGAATTTTGAATGAGATTTGTGTTTTTTGGGGGAAAAAACAAACCTAAAAACATTGGTTTGTCTTTTTGTTAGGTTTTGTATTTGTGAACTGTAGACATTTCACTGACTTATTTATGCATTTGTAGTTACATGTTTTCCCAGTAAAAAATGTTATTGAATATGTTTTAGGTTTCTTCAAATGGAAAACACTTGCTCTCATACAAACACAGAACTAACCTGGATAAAATTGATACACTTGGTATATATGGAAAGTTGAAAATTGATACTATTGGTTTTGTAAATGAAGCAGTAAGTAACTTGTTTTTACACTATTCCTATGGGTAAAGGGTAAGGAAATACATGAATAGGCTGTTAGCTGTCTTGAATTAGTTTTTTTAATGAGAATTTTAGGTGTATGTTTTATCTGTATTGCTCATCACAGAAAATGTTGTCTCCATTTAGCCCCTTCGCAAACAGTGACGTAAATAGTACGTCACTAGCAGTGGACCTGTTTAAACAGCTGGTGGGTGGCTTTACAATAGAAGCGGTTCTGGCTACTCAGCTGTCGCCATATCGCTTTTGAGGGCCGGTAAATTCCCCCCCCCTCTTGGGTTTCCCTGGCTCCGCTGCCCCTCCTGGCAGGGGGAAGCTGGGGAGGAGAGTGTCGACCGTCTGTTCACCAATCTCCTCCCCGTGCTTTGGGAATGGGAGCGATGCAGATTACATCTCTTCTGGTTCCTGAGCTGTCATTGCTCGGCTACAGAAGCCCAGCAATAGGCTATTGGAGTGTGATCTGCACTTCAATAGCTTATTTAAAGTGTAAAGATTAACTAGGGGTCTTTTGGACCCCCAAATCACCTTTAAGGAGTACCTGTCACTGTCAATATGCTATCACATGGGGGGCTTGTGATAGCAATTAAAGTAAAAAAAAAGATGAAACAGTTTTAAAAAAATGACATGAAATAAAAAAAAAAAAAACACTTTTTAAAAGCCCCCCGCCCCTGCGAGCACACACATATTATTGTAAACACACCCTGGGTGCGCCAACATAGGAAAACGATGATCGCGCTACACATGTTGGGTATTGCCACGCACGCTAAAGTGAGCAATAATTGTAGGGCCAATATTTATGTGCATCTCTAAACTAATGACCTGTAGGGGCGTTTAAAGCATTGTCGATGGACTTTTTGGGGTAATGAATTTTGTCGTTGTTTCACAGATGTACACAATTTGTAACCTGGGCATGTTGGGTATCTATTTACTCGTAACCTAATCTTTTATGTATTGTTTTTAAAAAAAAAATAGGTATTTTATTGTGTTTTGGGGCATTTAAGTGCATTTGTCACTCAGCTTTTGGGTTTGATCATAAGTTGCGCTAATATCGCGCAACATAAAAATTTGCAAGTGCTGCCATTTTATTCTACAGGGTCTTGGCTTTCAGAAACATTATTAGTACAATTGCACTGTAATGATGACTAGAAGACTATTATCAACATTGTTTTATTTTCCCAGCCACAGCAGGGTTCACAACCAACATCCCTTACTGCCAGCCTGTTGGATGGCTGTCTGGTAAGTTACTGATTATTTTCAAAAATGTTTAATGTGGGAAGTCATTGATGCATTGATTTCATTTAAAGCGACATTAAACCTTCGTTTTTCTTTTTTTGGGGGGGCTTTCTTTTGTGGGGGCCAGACTTGCCATAAAAAAAACTCTTTTATTCCTTTTTCCTTGTGTCCATAGACACACACAGTGTGTGGCTGGCCACGCCCCCACCCTTGCAGTCACAGCTTGACTAATGGCAGAAAAAGCCTACGGCTTCTCTGCCCTCTGTACCCTCCCCCACAACCAGGAAGTTCAGGGCCCCCCGAGTATCTCCGTGGGCGCAGCGGAGGAGAGGAGAAGAGCGGGGGGGACAGGGGTGTTGTGAAAGTGCTGGGTGTTTTTTGCCCTAATGCAGAGAATGCATTAAATATTAGCCTTTAGTACTATTTTAAGTGTAAACTGATATATACTGATATATATATATATATACAGCGTCACCCATGACCTAGGTTTTGCAGATTATTATGGGTTTTATAAGGACAAAATTACAGACGTAGCTGTTTCTTGTCAGGCTGTCTCTTTTTAAATGAAACTCTCTTTTATGGAGCTATATAGAACAGAGGAGGATAAGTTAATATTCGGATAGGGAACTCTTAAGGCATCAGCATACTAAGACATTTTGGACAATTTCATGCTCCCCACCTTGTTGGAACAGTTTGGGGATGGCCCATTCCTGTTCCAACATGACTGTGCACCAGTGCACAAAGCAAGGTATATAAAGACATGGAGTTTAGGTGGAGGAACTTGACTGGTCTGCACAGAGTCCTGACCTCAAACCGATAGAACACCTTTGGGATGAATTAGAGCGGAGACTGCGAGCCAGGCCTTCTCATCCAACATCAGTACCTGACCTCACAAATGCTCTTCTGGAAGAATGGTTAAACATTCCCATAGACCAGGCCTCAAAATTTCCACTCGCCCCCTCGCAATTGTCGAGTGAATATTGCGGGGGGTGGGGGGGTTTAGTGGTGGTGTTGGCGAGTGCAATGTCAGCGATGGGGTGCGCGGGACCAGGGATGGGACACTACCCCCGCGGCGATCTCTCGCTTCTGTTCTCTCTTCTATTTCTCGATTGCTGCAGCTACAGAGCGGCCAAGAAGGAGAAGAGAGAACCGAAGCGAGCGAGCGATCACCGCGGAGGTAGTGTCCTATCCAGAGCCGGCACTAGCTCTCTGCAATTGTGTGGGGCAATTGTGTGGGGCACTCATATTAATAACGTGCTGGATTAGTCTGACCCAGGGGCGGACGGGGGCAGGGTGGCAATTGCCCCCGGGCCTCTCTGATACCTTTGCAAACGCCCCCCCCCGCCACAAGCACTTAATCTCTCCCCTCTGGGCCGCTGTGATTAATAACGTCCAAAAGCTCTGACTTTAAGACTGCGGCGGCGGGGAGAAGAGAACAAGAAGCTTGACTGCCATCGTCTGTGCCCGCTGCAATTGGGCTCATCAGCGGCCACAGCAGTTTCCTCCGCCCACCTCAGCTGCCATTGGTGGGACAGGAAGACTGCCGAACTGCAGTTGGCCAGCTTCTGCTACGCAGGAGAGAGAGTCGGCTGGACGTGTAGGAAACCTCGATGCTCCCCCACCATCACCAGGAGAAGAAGAGGTCAAAGCACTTTGTGACCTCTGCACTGCGTTAAATACTGACCGCTGACCTTTGTACTGTGTACTGACCTCTGTACTGTCCGTCACACAGCTGGCCTCTGTATGCTGCATAGCACCACTGAATTCTGTACTGTGCGTTGTTACTGATCTTTGTACTCTGTGTCACACCGCTGTACTGGTGGAGTTAAGGCTGGGGCAGGGTAGGGGTTTGGTGGGGCAACTGGTGGCGAGTAACTTTTATAGCCTGGCTAGTAGCTTAGGACTTCAAATTTTGAGCCCTGCCATAGACACACTCCTAAACCTTGTGGACAGCCTTCCCAGAAGAGTTAAAGCTGTTATAGCTGCAAAGGGTGTGCCAACTCAATATTGAACCCTACAGACTGAAGGTGCCCACACACCTTGCGATAATCGTACGATAATCGTGGGAAATCCCGCGATCGTACGATTAGCGCAAGGTGTGTGGAAGACGTGCGACCGTTTTTACTGTACGGTCGCACGACTTTTATCTTAGGAACATGTTCAAAAACCGGCGAGAATCGTACGATTTGTTTGCGGGTGTGTGGCATTTTTGTAAGATAAATGCCGCACGGGCCTGTGTGCGCAAGCACACACTGCCCATTCAGCATTGGGGTCATCAGAAGCACGAATCGCAAGTACGATCTGCCTGTCCAAGATCGTACGTTTTTTTAATTCCCTTACAACCATCGCAAGACAAAAGTCTTGCGATGTTTGTAAGGTCTGTGGCCAGCATAAGACTGGGATACCATTAAAGTTCATGTGCGTGTAAAGGCAGGCGTCCCAATACTTTTGGCAATATTGTATGTGTGTGTGTGTGTGTGTGTGTGTGTGTGTGTGTGTATATATCACTATGTATTACTTTTAATCAGGGGTGTTACAAAAAGTTTGGCTTTTGTGAGTACTTTTTGGTGTGATTAAATATTTGTTAACCTCTGTTATGTCAGTGCTTAAATATTTGTTAGTATTTAAATTCCAATGAAAGTGTCAGTTTTTTTTTTTTATAGAGCTGTACTGACATACTTTTATATTATGATTTTTAACTAAAATGCTTTTAATACATTTTTCCCTTCTGGTAAATGGGTTTCCTGCTCTTTTACTCCAGTTATTTATGCTGACATAGCTGATTAAGAAAAGAAATAGACACCGGCACTCCAATAGTAAATCAATTACGTCTATTTATTGACGTACATCAATAACACACTTAGTGCCGTATTATTGTATTGATTTTGTGTTCGATGCAGAGCATACATAGAAGTCATAAAAACCCTCTGTGCCTTTTGGAATAGATCAGTCATAATTAGACACATTGAACATTATATCACAATATATATATAGTGGCATTGTGTGGCAATACCACAACCCTTATGAAAAGGGTGCTGGCTAGTGTTCAGGGCTCCACCTGCGAGACTGGAGGTGTTCCTGGATTTTAGCTTAAAGTATTAGCAAATGTATTGCCAAATAAACAGGCCCATAGCAGAAATAAAAAAATGGCTCTGGTCTATAAAGGGTGTACAGGTGTGAGGCTAGAAGAAGTTAAAATATCAAAACAGTTGTCGACTCTGCCTTTATACATGACTGCTTTCTGTTAAATTTAGAAAGTGCCTTGGACACAAATTCTAGCCACTGCTCTTGGTCCTGGAAGAACTGTGCTTGTAAAGGGAGAAGTAAATAAAAATGCAAAAACGTAAGTATTAGTCTGCTTATTAATGTAAACGGTTATTATTTACTGCAAGAATTCCAATTTGTTTTCCTGCTTTATTTTATTGTTAATAGCTTTGCTATAAACCTAAAACCAAGTGAATCCAGGAACATTGCTTTGCACTTGAACCCACGTATGAAGGAGAAAGTGTTTGTAAGAAACTCTTACCTGTATGACAGCTGGGGAGAGGAGGAAAAGCAACTGCATGAATTCCCATTTTTTCCTGATATGTATTTTGAGGTAAGCTGGTGTGACGAGAAATCATAATTATGGGAGTACAGGAAAATAATTTTGCTTGTGTATAGATATATTATATACTGTAATACATGTTGGGTGTACATGTTACTAAGCAGTGACTATTCCATTAGTGACACATTTTAACTTTTAATTTGCTAGGGATTAACAGAATATTTATTCATAGGCATCTTGATATTGGTTTGGTGTGCGTGTTCAAAAAACAGTTTTTCTTTGTCATCCTTTAAAGGAAACTAAAAGTCTTTCACCTTCGGGTTATACTGCCACCTACAGAAGAATTGGAGCCTGGCAAACAAACAAAAAAATATTTTTTTTTCCAGCACTGCTGTTAAAAGACTTAACCCATGCTAATCTTTATAATTGTTTTCTTCATTTTTCTTCAAGACTGTAATCAAAATTGCTGATAGAACTGGTCTCCACAATTGCAACTATCTGACAGTGGCTGGACTGGACCTTGCGGTGCCTAGTGCGTGGTACCTTCAGGCACTAGGTTTTGCATAAAGTGCTTGCCATACCCCAGTCTGGTAACAAGTTAGCCATGGGGCTACCTTTTTTGCATAGGTCCCTAGGCCCCTTTTAAATTCCCTGTTTCCGGATGTTTTTTGCCCAATTCACTCTGCTCCAAGCTAGTTCTGATTCCAGAGGCTTTAAGTGCACGCCCACAGATTCTATGGCTAATCTGCTCACTCCTCACGGCTTCTTGCCTCTACATGATGAGGCTATCCTTGAGTAGTCAAAGTCTTCTGCTAGGACTCCAGAACTGAAAGTGACTATTTCGGCTCTTATTGATGTGGTGTGCACTTCTCTAAAACTGGAGAATCACTCTGCCATATTGCTCCTTTGAGTTCTTCCTTTGTGGGGATTGGAAACACTCTAATGTGCCCTTGACAAACCCCCCCAAACGCTTAATAGACTTGTTCCTGGTTGGAAAAGATTTTGTAAAACAGTGGCCCACTTTAAAAAGGAAACAGGACATTCCTGCATTGAAGGATTCCACTAATCAGCAGTTAAAAACCCTCTTTAAAGCTCAGCTCCCACCTTACGAGCCCTGCCCTTTGCCCTATTCTGGCTTCGACTCTAATTTGTCAAACAATGGCAGAATGGTCAAAATCCCTTTTAAAAAATATCCTTCACTGGTAGATTGTGTGGAGCAGATGGCTGGAGCTTTACACTTCAGCTGTGATGGTCTGCTGGAAGCATCTTGGCTTGTTTCTTTCTTATTGGTCTTTTGTCAATAAGCCTGTGCAGAGCACTCTGGTTAAAGTGCTGGCCTGCAGATCCTGCATTCAAGGAGCACTTCTTGTGCATGGTCTTTGCGGATTCCTCGATGGTTTACTTTTCAGATGCTTATGCACAGAGAGTTATATTACAGAAATACAAACTCAACTGTTGCCTCTAGAACCTTCTTTGGCACTCACCTTTAACATCCCTGTGTCACCACACCTACCTCTACCTCTTTTGGGACCAAGATGTCATTGTTCAAACACAACTGAAGTTACTTCAGCAGGGGACTCCAATTACATCCAATGCATTGTCCACCACATGTAAGAACTACCTTCAAACATTAGACCGTTAAGGACACAGACATTAGCATAAATCTTCTTTTTAGGGCTTCCTTTTATTAACAGAAAGTGCTCAAAACATAATGCAGTTGTCCTCGTAGGGGTTATTCAACCTGTGTCTTCACAAAAAACATGCATTCAGCCTCCTGGCTCCGCTGCACCACTGCTCTGGCCTCAGTCCTTAGGTTCTTGTCTGTGTCCCTTACACAGTCTTACAAACACTGTGCTGACTCTTGGTACACACCTTGCAGCTCCTTGCTGCACTAGCTCCCTCTCTAAATCCTGGGTGGAGCCCTGAACCCATACTATAAGGGCTGTGCACAGCTGCAAAATCAATGGGTGCTGGTCGACACCAAAACATGGAACCAGGGTTGGAGGCTTTATGCCACCCGAGCCTCCACAAAGCCTCTGGGTTCCAGGACCCTGTCCAGGGTTTACCAGTCCTGGGGAAAACAAAAAAAGCCAACTTTCTCCAAATGAAACACACATCCTGGAGCCCCCTCTACCTGTATGGGTGAGAACCAAGGTTGACTGCTTACCCTTATCAGACATGGCAAGGCACAGCACTTATGAGTGAAACATGACTGGAATGCACAAAAAGTAAAATATATTTTATAGAACAGAAGAACAACTGGCTTTGTTACTTATAGTAGTTATACGCTGAGTGGCCAGATTATTATGACCACCCCATCAGTACTTTGTTGGGCCGCCTCGTGACACCACGAGATGTTGAAAGGTGATGCGAGGAATCTGACACTGCACTGTTGCCCTTTTGTTGTCTTGTACCAGTCTTGCCACTCTCCGTTCTGCCCTAACATTGAATAGTCGCTGACGGCCACAATTTGCACGTTCAGACCCAGATTTTCGGCTGACAGTCCAGTCTTTAAACACTTTAACAACAGCTGCTCTTGAACATTTAACGAATTCTGCTGTTTTGCTGATACTCGCTCCATGGCTTGAGCGCCAACAATCATCCCACGTTCAAAGGCTGTTAAATCGCGTTGTTTACCCATATCTTCAGAAAAAAATCACTTCTACTGTCGTGGTAAACAACCTGCTTCCCTATTTATAATGGTCTGGCCCTCTAGCAACTTCAGCGAGAAATTATAGCTAATTTGCCTACAAACGTCAGGTGGTCATAATAATCCGGCCACTCAGTGTATATATCTTGTAGGGATGTCCCAATATCACTTTTTCAAGACCAAGTACAAGTACTTTCCCTCCGGTACTTGCCGCTACCAATTACCAATACTTTTTTCTCAAAGGTACATGTGACACTTTTTCTTAAACAACTCAGACTGACTATTTTAGGGCAGTTTCTCACCAGGGCTAAATACAGAGGTCCCCAGAGCATGATACATGTCCGCAGAGCACAATACATCTCACCAGAGCACAATACATCACCAGGCTGCGATCTCACCAGGGCAGCATGTGGATTACTGCAGGGCTCTGCGGGCAGTGGCTATGCTGTGGAGTTGATTTTGGTGGGTTCCATCTCCGGGGCTGTACTGTGCTGTGTGGGGCTGTCCATGACTGTGCTGCGCTGAGAAGGAGTAGGAGAAATAGAGCCAGGCAGGCACTGCCATGTCCCCAGCAGGCTGCCGAGGTACCCACATGCATGGGAACTCCGCAGCCGCTGCGGTTTAAAAATGTAAAGGGCTGGTATCGGCCTTATTCGGGGCAAATGCCTGGTATTGGTATCAGGACATCCCTAATATCTTGTAAAGCGAATAAATACTGTATACCTTGCTAAACTACTCATTGTAAGAATTATCAAGTTGACAAAAATGAATGTTTAACAAAATAACACCCTCTCATTAAAAATGCTTACAGAGATTATACAGATACCAATATACACAATAATTACATTTTGTTGTCTACTCTGTATTTGCAGCTCCTCATATACTGCGAAGCTCATCAATTTAAAGTTGCAGTGAATGGACAGCATCTACTGGATTATAGGCACCGATTTAAAGACCTGAGTATGATCAACGAGATCTCAATTAATGGAGACACACAACTGTATGATATCAGCGTCTGGTAGAAAACAGTATGCCAGATGCACAAATATGACTGTGGTCAGATGATTTCCATATGATTTATGGATTATATTTCATAAATATAACGACCCTTTCTAAGGCATTACTTATAAAATGACTTAAATTAGCTCTTGATGCATTCCTAGATTTGTTAGACCAGAAAGGTATTATTCTGTACTAACTGTGTCATAGCGTCTTACTAAAATAAATATATTTATATTGTATTAAACTCCCCTCAAGGCTTATTGCTCTAGTGAGTGGCCTCGCTTACCAGTGGTGGGACACAGGTGGGTTTAGGCCAGAGCAGACCAGTCAAATTGCTGACACTTGGCATAACAAAGCCCCCAGGGTTTCAGGGATCTGGGGTGCTTTACAGGATCTCAGAGCCAACATGCAGAAACATTAGGGTGATTGTCAAGCAGTTTAAATGTCCGTTTGTGATGCTTTTTTAAGTCTCAGGGTTTCCTTTGATAATGCCATTTGTTAACTTTCAAAAATGGTGAGAAAAAAAGTAAGAAGACACCAAGGTAACTTGTAATTCTTCCACTGTGGTTAAATTACAAACCCCATGACGTCCTACCACTGTTGCAGCGCCCTTTTGCTTGTGTTAGACGGTTATTGTGCTATTACTGTTTACCACTGCACCAAAACTTGTCCAGTACTGAGGGTAATACATCTTACTGCACAGATTTAGAGCATAGTTCTTCAGTTCTCAAAGTGAACCTATGGGAAACCCTTTAAGTGAATGAAAAGCTGTAGCAGCTGACAAAAGCTATATGCGCATTTGGTACATTGTACTTCCCTAGTGCTACTTGGAACACCTCTTTAGGTGTTTTCCAAAGTTGGTACATTCATATCCATAGACAATCCCCACAATATTGCAACTCCATGTGGCAATTTCTGGGCTCCGCAACGAGTTGTTTAGTCACTGGGTTCACAGATTACTCCATCAGCCATCTAATACAGCTTCCTCATTAGTCTTTTCCACACATTTGCATTAAAGCACATCTGTCATCTACTCACAGTTGAACAGAATGAATTCCTGAGCCTAAACCTTGTTCACATTGTGTACTACAGATGTTGGTTCAAATTCCCTAGATGTCTATATTTAAACATTTTCCTTAATAAATGAAGTACCACAGAATTTGGGGCTAAGATTTGCATAATAGACCGCCCCAGATTTGTAGATTTCCTAGGTGATCAGAAACCATGCAAGGTAACCTCTCCCACAGTTGTACATTTAAAATACTAATGCTGAAATGAAGCAGTTAAAGTGTCAGTCACAAATTTTTTCGTCGCTCCCCATGCTGCTTTAATGATTTACCTTTAAATGATGCCTCTTGCTCCAGTTATCTTCTACCTTCCACTTTTAATTGAGAAGTCCCTACAGTGCTGGTGCTGGTTTCTGATCCAGTGCAGACCCCGGTCTCTTCCTGTCCCACGGAGTCTGTCAGATGTGCACGTTCCCAGCTGCATGCATTCACCTCCGCATGCGCCTGCCCCATCATTCATGCACGGCTGCTCAAGAAGCTTCAGATGTGAACGAGCGGCGGAGACGCAGGTAAGTAATTACCTTTTTGGTAACTTTTTATTTTTTTTAAATGTTTTTGCATATATCTATTGCTTGCCGGCAGAATATACTGTATATGCAAAAAAAAAAACAAGTGTTTCATTGTACTTTAAATTCATGTAGAGGATGAAAGCAGCTAGGTGTGCACAGCTTCCTTTGCATCCCACATGTAAAGTCCCAGCACTGTGCTAGTTATCATGAGTTCGGTCAGCATTTTGTATCATCCTAATAAATATACTTTAGCCTTTTATGCAAAGATAAAGAGGACTAAATCTAGGGAGGTCTGTCAAACTGTCTGTTACCACAACTTCAAATAGCCTCATCACCCTCCACCCCAAAAGGGATAACAAAAAACTATTTTAAATGACAACACTAACATAAATATAATAAATCATATAATATTTTATATATATATATATATAAACACTGCATAAAAAAGGGACCTAGTGACCAGGGCCTATTTGGTACAGAAAAAATACTGAAAAACTGCATGATCCAGAGACCTCAATTTGGATAAAATGTGATCTGTTATTGTGGCTTTTAAATACAATAACTGCATATTTGCATTTACCAAATATTTTAATATGTTCTGTCTTTGCTTTACTATCTTTATGTTATGTTGATTTATTGAGCACTTTTAATTGTTTTTTTGTTTTTACATCTGTACATTAATCATAATGTATGATTTAAAAACTTTATTGGCTGCAATAAAATTATACATATTATTTGTATCAAGTTGTGCTGTAGCTTGATTTTGGCTTTGTGTACAGATTGCAATATAAATCTGAAGATTAAGGAGCTTATATCAATTAGTAGTAAATAAAAGTAGAGGCATATGTGATCTATGTGTTACATAGCTCCAAATAAAGCAAAATTAAAGTTACCATTATTGTCACTATACTGTATTCCATACATCTAGTTTCAAGGACCGAATGTTTTAATATATCGTTTTTTTTTTTGTTTCTTTACTTGTTCTACATTGTTGTGTGAGTAACCAAGAACTGCCTTAGCTTTATCATGTAGATTGCATTGCAACGTACCTATTCTGTGGTATTTGGCAGACGAGACCATCTCTGGCCGTAAGCGTGAGAAAGAATGAGAGACATCAAGAGATTGAGTGAGAGAGGGGGTATGACTGAGTGAGAGAGATTCTGTTTTGTTTTCAGCAAGACAGTAGGCAAGGGCCAAGAGTACAACACAGTAGAAGGCAGCACTAATAGTTTCATCACCATGCTTAGAAGGTATGCTGGTGGTAGTAGAAACAGCTACATATGGCTTCTCTGCCTCCTTTTTTAGAACAATCGGGAGAACTAACACACAGTTTCTGAAGGACAAACACATTGGAGTAGGAGGGGAAAAGAAGCCCTGTCAGGTTGTAATGCTGCAATTATCCCCGCTAGGTGGATTCACCCTTTGTATTTAACCTGGTGACCATTGTCACCGAGACAGAAAGTGATAGCAAATACAACATTTCTGAGTAGTTACCAGAATAAGAAATATTGATTTAAATCTTCCAATTGGTATACTAGTTCTGGTGACAACAGTCTCCAAGGGGAATTTCTCTCACTATTATAGAAATTTCCTATCGATTCCTTACTGATTTGACTCGGGGGCAGGAGGTGAAGGGAAATCTCCCCAATGGAATTTTTTTTATACAATTTCACTCTGCCACAATTGGTCTCTAAAGATAAGAAAAAATCTGGATTCTCCCTTGATGCTTTGCGAGTTAGAAGATGCAGTAACCAGTTTCTCTAAAAACAAGGCCCCCACACACTGATGGTCTTCTGAAATTTACAACAATATGGAGAAACAATCCTCTTAAAAATGTATACCGAGGTTCTGGAGCAGGGATCCTTACCACCCTATTTCCTTACTAACCACGAATGTCAAAATCCTAGCAAAGATCCCTGCATCCAGAGTTGTGAAAGTGATCTCTACATTAGTACACCCAGACCAAAGTGACTTTATACCAAACAAATCAACTGCGCCTAACATTAGTCAAGCATTCTTCCATATCTAGGTTCCCCCTGACTCTACTGGCACTGGATGTGGCTAAGGCACAGTGATCGTGCGAGTGGAATTACCTTTGGGGGGGTACTCACCAAGTTCGGGTTTGGTCCAGGATATTTGAAATGGGTGCAATTGTATGCCAGCCAAAGACTGAGCATCAGCATAAACAACTCCTATTCCCTCCTTATTTGCACTTAAAGGGCACTTGACAGAATTGCCTTTTTATTTCCTTTCATTTTCCTACTCTATTGAACCCATTGCTTTCCTGTTGGGACAATTGAGGCGGATAGTGGGCTTTATTAGAGGGGAATGTATGCAGACTCAAGCTTTTGTACCTAGCTGATATGCTTCTTCCTCATTCAGCCCGCAGGGCTAAATGAGAAAAATTGTAAACGGTATGGCCAGCTTGAGCGATTTCTATCTTGACTGATTTATTTTCCTATGTGTTGACTGACATAGGAAATGCTTGTGAGGTCAATGAAGATGCAATTTTCAGCCATAGCAGCTTGGCCACAGAGAAACTGGTTTTCAGGCTTGTCTGATTTTTCAAGGAGTTCCCCTCAGAGGCTAATTCCACTTACACAGAGCAGGATGGGGTGAGGGAGATAGTCAGCAGGAGGGAAGCCATTTGCAGATGATTGCACCTTTTTTTATGAGATCTATGCACACAGATTGTGCTGTAGGAGTTAACCTAATGCTGAACTCTAAATGGACATTAAAAAAACTATAATAAAGTATGCATTCATTAAAATCTAATTTACCTTAATGTATATTAAAGTATAAGGTGCTTATACTAGTTGCATTTCAAAATATGTTTGTATTGTAAGTTGACAAGAGGTTTGCATACCCCAAGAGATCCTACAAAATCCTCACAAGAAAACAAACGGTCCAAATTATCAACACAGGAAGCAAACACTATGGAGCTAAAGAATGTACCAAATCCAGATACCATTGTGGGATTAAAGGCTGGTCAAACAACTCTCACTGTGAAAAATTATAGTCTGCAAATATACTAAAATTTCGCCTGGAAAGAGTTGCATCAGATTAGAACAAATTTCAGCTACAGAGCAAAGACTGAGGGATTTGGATGATGTTACTAAAGAAATTAAAGACCAGTGTGGAAGACACCAGGACAAGAAACCAACTTAGAATCCTGGTCCTTTAGGAGGGAGTGGTGACTAGAGTCCCTACTACTTTTAACGAACATCTCCTTAATGAGCTATTCTAGCGGAAACTTAGGGTGTGGTGTAAAATAGTAGGAAACCATGAAATTAATTTAATCTGCAACATCAGCAGATGTCTTTTTATGAGGGGGTGAGTAGAGATTTATATATATATATATATAACAATAATAGAAAAATGTGTTCAGTTTCAGAGCTTTAAAAAAATAAATAAAAATGCATGTAAACGCACCATAACACACTGGAATATATTTAAAAACCCAGCAAAACCTATTGA